AGAAACAAGTGGTAAACAGTTGGTAAAATATTTACGTTTTTAATTATATGCAATGTATACATATATATGTTTTATAGCATCACAGTTCCACATTACTCCTAATGCAGTTTTCCCGAATATTGGAATCATATCTGGTGTTTTTCTGAAGCCATCATTTCAAATAGAACACATTACTGATTGGTTAAATAATTAGATTCTCATACTAATAGAACTACTACTTCAGTTTTGCTATTTTTTATTTTACGCTATCACAAAATCAGATTAGATAAACCATTTTGATTACGAACTAGCGTACGTAATACATAGTTGAACAATAGGCCATAGAGAGGTTAAACTCAAGAACTTCACTATTGGAATTACGAAAACTAGATTATAAATTTAATGTCAACAATAATTAGGATTAAAAATATATTTGATGTCTTATTATATATCAAATAACAGTTAGTCATACGAATGAGAATCAAAACACATTGTGTCATCATTAATGCAATAACACAACTAGCTTTACTTTTCAAGTAAATATCACATCGGAAACTATAGTATTGATGAATAGTAATAAACTGAATTCGCTGCACAACATTATATTGTAAAAGCAGATATTATTTACTTAGCCATTCATGCTTTCAACAACAAATAGGTCAGAAATTCAATGTAACAGCATATATGCAAACTGTCAGAATCAATCAAAAATAATTTAATTACATAGAAACTTTGCCAAGTGAAGGTTATAAAACTGTGACATTTATAATACCAGTTAAATTGTTCATTTAAGTTTGTTAGAAGTAAATAAATTGTAAAGTTGACAATGGATATAAAACATGGATCCTTGTCTAGTTTTATTCTCTTACGATCGTATGAAATTTCATTTCACAAATTAACTGAAATGGAACATTTCAACGTATGTTAAATGAATTTACTAAAACAAAAAAGAATCTGTTTGATATTAATTAATTTGAAATTTTATTTTCAAAGTGTGAAATAAATCACCATTAAATTAAAAAAACTAAAGTGGAAATAATATTACCCTCTCAAGATGTTATCTATGGTTGTGTGCCATTGAATACATAAATTGATTTTATAAGTGTATTTCAAGTGTACATGTAATGTTTACCTCTCACAATGAATGACTTTCATCTAATCTCCTTAAACTTAGTAGAAAACACATAATTAATATCAAATCCTAGCAATTAGCCTTAGTAGTTACCTGACTTATAACTTCTATCACTCCCCAGGTATGTTTATCCTTGATAATAATTAAACCTTATTAAATAATCCAGTCAACTTTTCCAGAGATCGTTACCGACCTTATTGGCTGGGACGGCGTACCGGTAAATTGTGCAACAAATAACACAAAGAATAAAACCATTTCATATATATACTTTCACATAGATACGCATATATGAATTCTTTTTGTTGCGTTATATAAAAAATATACAGGTGTATATATAGAACAATGCTAAACAGTGTTTTATTTATTTCTGTACAACATATAAACTGGGTTATTTGCTCTTTTCAGTCACTCGGTTAATATCCTTCTGATTGACTGTTTTAGAATGAAATACGTCTTATTAAAGAAAATATTTGGGCATTTTTTTACTTTTTTTAACGCATACTATATGAGATGCTAAACAACCTCTTCATTTCATTTCTAACTGAACATAAATTGTTTTATATTCAAGCACTGGTTATCGAGTATCTCAACCATATAGTGTTATATGGACACCCAGATGATTTGTCCAAAATAGGATGACATATATTTCCGATATTTTATTGACAGTATTGATACACATTATATGCATCATTACTGTTTAATGTAAACCAGGCTTAGAAAAATATATGATATGTATTTTTAACTTATCCTTAATCTCAATAGTTGAAATCATGAGCCAATCGAAGCTAGACCACCACGAAAAACCTAGAAGTACTGGACGGCTGTTTCGTCCTATTATGGAACTTGTCAACAGTGCGCAGCCACGACAACTGACTCATGATTTCAACTATTGAAATTACTACAATCTCCACAAAAACCCCTCTGATAACTATTCTTAATCGTCATTTAGGTTCTAGACTTTACTACAGTTTACTTCTAGATGATTGATAGTCACAGCACAAATAAAACAAGACAAAATACGTTTCCGATTGCACATTTTCACTTGGTTTTCGTTACAACAATATTTAGGACAAATATGTTCTAATGACTTTTATGATATTGAGATTTATTCCAATTCATGCTTAATATGTGAATATACAAATTACCCTTTATTATTATATTTTCTATATGCCGCCGGCCTATCAAAAAGCATAATTAAATATTTTACTTAGATTGATGTAAACGTGTTATTCTTTATCAATTATAACCGTCTACGCATTTCATTTCTGAATAGAATTTATACAGTTGTCAATTTTCCTTGTACAGTTGTTATGCATTACAGAAAGTGAGTCTTTATAAAGTCACTCAGACAGTTATACTAACATAAAAGTATTAGGTATGTTACAAGAGTATTTTATTTTAACTGAAATGATATTTTGCGCCAGGGGCATTTTAGTGGTTTATGTATCTGATTAGCCTTTAGTTTTCGTAATAGATATATATAGTAAAATAATAGTCATTAAGATATACAATCAATTATTTATGAAACCATATGTTAAGAGGAAACTCTAGTTTAATCTATATAGATGAAAGTACCATCCACTTAAGCATAATAAATATCGATTAACTGTTAAACAAAATACTGTAGATGACATTGACTTGTGTCCATTCCTCAAAAGTGTAAGATTTCTTCATCGGAGTAATCAGTGAATTATGTGGTCAACATATTAAAGGATGTACTATGGTATTCAATTTCATGAAATACCTATCAATACACACATTTACTTTGGTTGACAAGTTTCTCATCAAGAATTTAAGTAACATGTCTTTATTTTTTGTATAAGTGACTTAGAACTGTATTATCAAAATATTTGTTTCAGTGCCTTAAATAGAAATCGTAGATGAATAATTTCTAAAAGAACAGATAAGACGGGAATTTCGAACGTTTTGTTTTGTTTTGGTTACAAAACAAACTATCCATATAATACAATCTAGGAAGGAATAAAAACTTAACATTAGTGAATTATAAGTTTAACAGTCTACATTTTTTTGTAATTGACCAAGATCAAAATAATTGAACTGTTTGAATATGAATCGATTCCTAACATAATGCTATCAGTTCACCAAAAGAACCAACTTAATATTCATTTGATAGAATATATTTCATATCTTACATAGGCTACAATTCAACTGGATTACCATAATTCATAAATGATCATCGTTTTTGTTGTGTTACTGTATAACACAAAACTGTGATAGATTCACAGCACATCATATTTATATCAAACTTATTTAAGCAGCAGTAACGATTAAAATAATGTTCATGTCAGTGCAAATACGATGTAAGAAAAGCTGTTTATAAACAGTAATAAGTTACAGAGTGATTTAACGGATAAATTAGACTTAGAGAACATGTATAAAGAGTAAATAAAGATATTGACTCAAAATTTGACATCATAACAAATAGAGTAAAATTTAAAATTTGATAGTCACTAACAAACTGGAAGGTACTAGATTGCCGCTGTTATATAGACCTAGACTAAAGTAAGATATTTGTGCAATATTCAGTGGTTTCAATTGTTTCTCAGCTGACGTTTTCATGAAGCAAAATAGGCTTCATATTATAAATATACGTTAGTTAGTACATTAGAACCATATGATAACATAAATGCTTTTAGCAACACAAGAGTATTGGGCATTGTTAAATGTAATGTAGTGATTTAATAAACGGTTTACGGCAAACCATATAGATAAATGGTCTCGTTAGAATGATTAAAAAATGTAACTCAATCTATGTAACATGAAAGTCATTACGTTACAAAGTGTATACTAGTGATATTTCTAAACATAACGTTGAAGCATCATCAACATCAAATAAGCTCACTAACTATGTTTATTAATTATGTCTTCAACTTGCGTTTTCTGGATTTGCTTTTATGCTATTTTAAGAATTTCATTTAACACATAACCTAATACAAGAAAATATTGCATGTTAACAAGTTTATTTTAATACGAATTTCATAATCTTGACAAAACACTTATTACACTGAACGTGATAATCATATTTCTATCATAATCATGAACTTACAACTGTAGATTATGATAAAAAGTTTACTAGATACAATAGTATATGTCCATGCATATGTGTTTAAAGCAATCGGTAATAATAAACATAATAGAAATGGTGATAAATATTTAGTTAAAACATAATTTCACTTTATTAAAATAGATACCTTCATAAATTATACTTCGATAATTTATACACTCATTTCTACTAATAATTATCCCTGATAAGTGAAGTAGACTAATTATGTATACAAGAATAACTGGTTATCACTAAACATTCAAAATGAATAACTGAGAAACGTCCGTTTGGTAACCATATTGAGTTTTTAGTCTTTCTTCAGCTAATCTAAGTTAGTAATAAAGATCGACCTCATGTAATTTTAATTTAAATGAATATTACTCATAATTCAATAAAAAAAAGTTTGACAAGAATTAGACACTGAATATGTATAAGACATTAAAATGAAAATTTCGACTTTGAATAATCTCGTCAATTAAATTTTAGACAATTCCAATAATCTCTTGTGTGAATTTAAAGTTTAGTACAATCAATATCATTAGTCTGTTTTCATTTCAATTATATTCTTCTAAGAAATCTTCAGATAAAATTACCGAACGAAAGACTGGAATCATTTAGATTCAAATCAATCAGATTGTTTAAATACAATTTCTATGTTTAATGTAAAGTAACTGAAGTTTTACTAAACTCAATTATCGCTTTGGAGCACATTCGGATTTAGAACTATCAAACTATATATATATATATAGTTTAACTTTGAAGTACTTATATCCTTAATAAATAATAAACATTTTGCATAGTTTTTGATAAATAAATAAAACTCACCTGTATCATAAAAAATGGAAGCCAACAAAGACAAAAACATCCCATTATAACTCCAAGCGTTTTAATTACTTTAGTGTCAGAATTCCCACGAGATCTTCTTCCATGAGCTTCTCTGGACAATTCATTGGTTAAATTCATAGAATCAGTCAATAGTTTTCTTGATGAGTAAGAGTTTAATCTTTTATCATTTTCTATTGCTTCGCAAATGTCATTTGTACCTCCATCTTTTTTCACACCATTATTAATTGCATTAGTTACTATGTGCTCATCATCTGACTGTACATATTCAACTATATTTGTACTTGTAATTTGTAATTCCTGTATATTCTTATCTAATATCGGTTCTGAATGTGAATTATTTGATATAGTTTCTGGCACTTCAGTTGACTTACATGATGTGCCTGGTGTCATTTTTGACTGACCACTGCGTGACATTTCTCTAGCCAATTTGAATATCCTACCATACAGAATAATCATCACTATAAGTGGTAGATAAAATGCAAAAAATGTTGCATACACCTGATAACCAACATTTTTACTATACTCGCAGGCACATTTTTGAAATGGCTCTTTCCAGCCAAAATTTGGTGGTATACTTATCAATGCTGAACCTATCCATGCAGTAGCTATCATAGCAGCCATACGTTGTGGTGTTCGTCTACTTGCATATGTCAGTGGTTTTGTGATAACTAAATATCTATCAATCGAAATTGCACAAAGATTTAATATTGATGCAGTACACAATAGTACATCGAAAGATATATACATATCGCATAAACCTTCATTAAACGGCCAATAACCTTGATATGCATCAATTATTGTAAACGGTAAAACTAACAAAGCTACAAAAAAATCGCTGAATGCTAAACTTCCAATAAGAATATTACTTGGTGTTTGAAGTTTTTTCACAAGTATCACGGCTAAAATGACTAGAAAATTTCCTCCAGCTGTAGCTATTGCAACAATTAATGATAAAATAAAAATTATCCCTGTTATCAATGCAGAATCATTTTCACTAATACATTCTGAGGTATTCAACTTGTTAATTGATAATGTTGACTTAATACTAGAATTATTCTGTTGTGAAATAGTCATGTTTGTATTATCAATGATCCAATATGATATATTCAACGAATTCACATTTGTAAATAAACCATTATATGAAATAAATAAATGAATAAGTAATAATTTAAATCGATGTTCATGTTTAGTTAGAATATACCACATTTTTCTTTAGACAAAATAAAGATAAATAAACCTATGCTCAATGTTCTATGTTTATTTTGTTTATATGCTTTAAATGAAATTCATTATTGGTGATAATTTCAAAAATGGGAACATTTAAAATTTGACTCAATTTCTTTATTTAAAAAAAAGGATGATAATTGATTTATTCGACATTCTTGTAATATGAAACCATTGAATAATGAAAACAATATTGATATATTCCATTTATATGTTTATCATAATATTTAATTTAATGAGAACACATTTTAAGTAATAAAATTGTTAAACAAACCTTCCATATTATCTATTATATAAATTTGAATTGAAATCCTTAATATTCTAGAAAAATTATTGATCCCTAGCAACATTTAGAAAAAAACAAACAATATGTCATTAGATATTTTTCCCATTGTATTTAATTTAATTAATTGATTTATACTATTCAACGGGTTTGATGGATGATGCCTCATATATAATAAAAGTAAAGTCATTAAATTAATAGGGCGGATATACAGTTGAATAAATGATTGTTATAAACAAATTCAATTCTAATTCCAGGAATATAGAACCAACCATACCTTCAACTACGATCTAGTAATATATGTACAGACATAAAAAAATACAGACAGACCTATTTATAAACAGACAGTTTAAAAATACCTGTCATAGTAGAAATGTATATATATATATATATTTTTTCTTTTTAAATACGTTGTCACATAGTGACAAGAGTTATGTGTATTTACATATCCATGTGTGTGTGCGTACGTGCGTGTGTGTAATTATAAGCAATGAAAACCTAGTAAATGTCTAATGATGGGGATAAAATAAAAAGTAATTATGATTTTAGTAAGCAGATCATTAAAACTTTCGTGTGACAAGCCACTGAAAATTCTTAACTGACATTGTATTCATCTATATTGAAATATTTTGCATTTTAGAGAGTGAAAATTTTTTTCTCAAATTCATTTGGCGGGATTTTTTGAATCTTGATGTTGATATCAAGGTCTACAAATGATCAGTTTAATTTAGTATATGTACATCATATGCCGATCGCTCAAAAACTACCATGAAATCATAAGAATTTTAAGTAGAGTTTGATAAAAGCTAGTTCGAGTATACAGAATATGTGTTTTGTAGTGTTTTACACACGTCATCTGGATATTTCTGCATCAAAGTTTTGGTATTCACAGCAAAGATCAGTTGAATTTATAGAGGATCTTTATCAATGTTATTTCTTATAGTATCTTATCATGGTAAGGAGCCAAATTATTGTACATCTAATCAAATGAAAGAAAAAATGCTTATTTAGTGCACCAAAATTATCGTAACAATTCAGAAGATTTGAAAGGTTTAGAAAAATATACCTAAACATGATAATGATTATTCATATTGAATTTACCATTCCTTTAAACTACCTAAGTGGTTGAGTCAGTCATTTGACCTATAAGTACAGTCAAGTTTTTGAACTTTAGAATTTAAATGTGGATACCATTGTGAATTTTAGATATATATTTGTAGATAATTGAATGACTATTAAATGGACTTTCTTTCTGTATCACTTTCATAACCAGTAAATACATTTAAGATTTAAGACTTGATATGTTTATGTTGAAAGTGGTTATAACTGTACCGAATTCTAAACAATCTAACACTAATAACATTTGAGATACAAACTTACGATCATTTGGAAGCATTTAGATATTTTAATCCATTTTCTATAAATTATCAACATTTATCAAAAGGAAATCTCTAGTATAGTGGTAAAGAAGTTATGATGAAAAGGTCTAAAATGAATTGCACCATGAAATGTTTAAACACAGGAGGCTTATGTATTTATTAAGATCTTTAACAGAAATAATAGAATGATGGCAAATGTATGAAAAATTATTGTCCACTTAACAGATATGAAAACGTCGAGTGAGGAATTATTAACACAAATAGGATGAAAATTAAATAATTGAAAGATTGAAATATTGGAACGATGTATTCACAACTAGTCTGTCAGAAATGAACAACATAAAATATTTACGTCCATAGTACAATTTGGTCTGTCATATGTTTTTTAATAAAGAGTTCATGTTCAGGCCACTTTATTGCTAACGCCACTATAGTGCACGAGTTTTTGATTCGTGCTTTGTTCAGGAACCCTCTTTCAACCATATAGGTTATTTCGAAGGATATTTTCAGTGGAGGAGTGATAGCACAAATGAAGACGTATTTTAATATTGAGCTGTTGATTATTTAACACTCTAATTTTGAAAGACATCCAGGAATGTATCTAGAAAGCCATCTTTATGAGTAAGTGATTAACATTTTGGAGTACTATGAAATATATGTCATATGCAAGACGATTATATCACGTGTTCAATGAAATTACCCTGTTTTATTATGAACTTGGTGTTGACTTTATCACTCATATTATTTTAGACAGATTTTTTATTTACTATAAGGTGATCATCGATTATCAGGAAAAACGATAATTCAGTAGTGCATATATTGTGAAAAGGGTAGAGACCAGAATAGTAAAATTACTCCAAACATTACACACAGACAAACAGCAACATGTATTTTTGTGGAATTGACTTGAGTGTTTGACTTTTTTGTAATGAATTAAATAGGTGTTATATAGTTGTTAAGAGAAGATATGTTCAGATTAAATAGAAAATTTACAATCATTCAATGGTTATGAACGTCATAATAGTTCTAAGGAAGTAATTATTTGCCGTTTTAATGTTAAGCCATCCTCTTGTATGCTATGTAAGACACATAAGTTGCGTAACAGAGATAAATATAGACATCTTCCATTTGCTTCACATACATATATAAAAATTATAAAGAGACTTTAATATAAATAAATGGTTAATTAGGCTATTTTTAGTATTTTTTTTCCACAACAATCAGCCTTTCCTCCAAGATATTGATATATTAACACTTTAGTGCAATCCTTGATCATAGAATCAAATTGAATTGTTGACAACAAATTTCTCAACAAATTATCAGACAGGTATCTACCGCAGTACAATGGAAGAAGGTCACGCAATTTCGTGGATTGGTTGAGGTTCAACATTAACACCGTTGGATGCCGACTCAGTGATCTAGAAGTTAAGCTTTGACGCTCGAGACTTAACGCCCTGGGTTGGAATCCTGTGAGCGGAATCGTAGGTGCGCACTGCTGAAGAGTCCCACAATAGTACGAAACGTCCGTCCAATGTTTCCAGGTTTTCAATGGTGGTCTAACATCAATCGGTTCATGATCTCTATCAAAAAATAATTTATATGAGTTTTTAGGTATTAATATCAAAATTGAACTTGATACTTTGAAATAAATTGAGCATTGTGTGGAAAGTTAATGATAAATTTATTTTTTTATATCCCAATGATTAGAAAAATTGTATTTCTGACGTTTCGTGACTTAATGTGAGTATACAGATAACCGAATTCAGTTACTTGTCTACTCTGAAGAAGTGGTACATATATTGTTTTTTTCCTTACTTAAATAGCATATATATTCTTGTACAATAAAAATCTGGAGAAGTGAAAAAACGTTTTGATCTGTGGGTTATTTCCATTCGATCCAAAGTTTCGAAATTATGTTTAATATTTTTTTATATTGAATTATATCTTTTATCAGTAATCTCTTTTGCTACCATTCTAAGTGTCAATACTTTTTCTATCCTGTAATGATTTACTGTATCAACTTAGACGTACACAATGTTGCTAGGATAGTCCTACATTACATATGACTGGATAATGTAGTAAATTATATTCTACATAAATATCTCTAAAATAACATTATTTTTCTTGATGTATGTATAGCTTTGTATATATGTTCATTAAAAAGGATTATGAAACTATTTTATAAAATTCTTCACTGTCTACTAGATGTTTCACTATACTAGTTAGCTACCTTATTATTTATAACAAATGAAAACAAGAATAAAAAGATCTAATTTCCACGTTTTGACAGTAACTATTGTAACCGGAAAACTGAAATTTTGTTTAATTTCCTGTTTTCATTATTAGCAAAATTTAAAATGATATTTTTTCTCTGCAATTCACTAAGTAGACCTAAGTAAAATGTGTTATGATGTTTATTTGTCTACCTTGATTATAAACAGATTAATTAGTTAATGATGAGATGAACTATGGAAAAAAAGAAACAGGAAATAGAATAGATGGGAAGTTAAGATCAGTAATTTACATTCTAAATAATGATGGAATACTTTTCTGAAAAAAAAGTAGAAACATTTTATTTTTATGAAAAACGCAATATACAATCATTAGAATATTTTGTTTGGACTTCAGTCAAATGATTCATCGACACAAATGAATAACATTCGAGAATACTACTAAAATATATACATTCATATCTCAATTTCATTGTCATAACTATGATGACTTTCGATTGTTTGTATGCTGGAAAAAACATTTTAAACCGGAGATCATTTATAAGAATACATAATAGAAAATTCAATATAGTTTGATTTTAACTGACGTATGTTACTAGTGAAAGAAACCAACCAAGTTAGTAACAAAATTATAGCTCAGCTCAGCAATAGAAGTTTCCTTTCCGATAATATCATTTACTAAAGCTGTGGAATTATATTTTGGATTTATTATGGTTAATCAAAAATACTTTCAAGTACTAAAAAAATGAACCAACAGCTCAAAATGTAAATAGATTTAAAATGTAAAATAACAATAGGAAGCTGTGTCTATAGAGTTGTGTTACGTCATAACTTATTAAGAAATATCATATATATACAAATAAGGGTATATAATTATATAATAGCTAATAAAAAATTGTTAGGATAAAGATATTTTATAAGAGACAGATAAATAACCGGAATAATTCATTGTTGTAATAATAGCTAGTTAATGGTGCATGATACGAAAAATAGTCTTCAGTTGTGGAACTTGTATTACCGGTTAAAATAACATTGTCTATGTTTATTTCTAAAAGAAAATACATACGACTTTTTCTCCCAAAAAACCAG